TGAGGCTTCAGGGGGAGCTTGGTTTTGTCTGCACCCAGGTTCCCAGCTTAGACAGTATTACTGGTCGGATGGATTGACCCATCTCTCTCTCTCTCGTAAATAAACCTTTTATTGATCTTTATATGTGTGCATGCCCTTGGGTCTTGTCCTGATTTATTTTAAATGTGTGGGTGAGGACTCATACTCAGGCCTTCCCCTTTCCCTTTGGGGTTTCCCTGTAACACTAACACCAGATGCTAGACTTGCAGTGACAGCCATAGGCCATTCCAGGTCACCTAGTTGGAAGATTTTCAGGGTGGTACAAGGTGACCAGGCCTCTGTGGAGAAGCTGGTCTCATCCTGGACCACAGTAAGCACTACCCCATCTGGGCATAGTCACCCCCCCCACCCTTCCAAGCTATGCATTCAATATACGCACACATATAGATGCATTTATTAAATATGTAAAATAGAACTCTCTACTTCTCTATAGTATCTATAGATCATTAAATAGCTCTATAAATATCTCTATTACACATCTCCTTAGCAAGCCTTTGCTTGCAGTCATGAGGGAGGCCCAGTCACACCCCAGTCTTCTCTCTGTTGCATTACAAGAGCCAGGAAACATGTATCTTTTTGCTTAGAATTGTTCAAGTTGCCACCAAGACAATCCTGATAAAGATAAGCAGTTTCTGGAGTGACCTGACCCTGCACTAAGCTGCCCACAAGGGAAAACTGTTTCTAGAGATGTTAAAATTCATCAAACACTCCAAAAAGAGCATAAAGAACAATGGTGGTCAGACCCCCTTTTGAAAATACTTGGCCATTTCAGGGAAAGTCCTGATTGTCAACTCTTTTTCAGTTGTGTGACCTCATGAACAAAGGAGCGGTGGGGATGAGAATTCTGACCAGGACTTTGATCATAGCTTAGCAGTTTATGACTTTGTTGTTGCTGTTTGTGTGTTTTTGCCATGGACCCTCTATCAAATTAATTGAAGATGAAGCCCTGTATTCAACCCTGACAAACCAGTTCTTTTTCAGGCTATAGAATATAGATTATTTGCCCTGAGGGACTGGAGAAGCCCTGGCATTCTGGAGCCTTCTTTAGAACTCTCAGATTACTGGGAGTCTCTGCAGCCTGTCAGCCTGCAGGAGAACCTTCTAAATTGGGGTTTTTGGAGCAGGCCTAGAGTCTGAGGACCCCATGTGGGCTCTTTCTCAGTTCTTGCCTCAGGCGAGGAAAGAATTCAACATGGAGAGCAAAGTTACAGAAAAGCAAGAGATTTATTGAAAGGTAAGAGTAAGGACAGGTATTGATAGGTAAGAAAAAGGACCAGAGAACTCCCTGAGTGGAGAGGGGTCCCAAGTTGGTAGCCACAGAGGTGGCAAGAAATCAGTACTTTTATGCCTAGAGCGGGCAAGGAATGGGGTTCGATTGCTGGGTGTCTCCATGTTGTACCTCTTGTTGATTGACTGGGCCCGCAGGCATCTCCTAGGTCACCAAGGTCCGTTGGTGCCATGTGGGTTGCTCCTGGGCTGGGGATTGAACGCGTGCTGCAGTGGCTGTGGATATCTTCATAGGTTGCGTCTTAACCCCTTGTGCCACCAGGGAGGCTCTAGTCTCTCCACATCTTTAATGTTCGGGGAACAGTATGTCCTGAAGGAACTCCACCCCTACCTCCATGTCAAGGACATCCCAGGTGCAGAGGTGCCAAGGATTACAACTCCCATCATGCCATGGCTCTGCCATAATCCTTGACTTCTTGAAAGGGGGGATTACTGGGAACTAAGGATGAGATTAAGTAGCCATGGCATGGTTGCTATAAAATCAAAGACAAGTGGGGCTTCAGGGGGCAGCTTGGTTTTGTCTGCACCCAGGTGTGCAGACAAGTTTACCTACCTTTCCTAAACTAGCTTTAGTCCCCCTGCTTTGGCATTGTGTTATTGCTTGGGTGTTCTGGACATTTCATTCTTTACTAGGTAGGCAGGGGCACCCTCCTGGTTTGGGATTGTTCTCCAGTCAGACCAATAAATGGATCTAGGGCTTGGGAGGAAGAGGGAGAGCCTTCCTAGTTTCAACCAAGTGTTTCCCAATCAGTCTTATAAGTGAACTTAGGGGCTTGGGACACCCGATTCCTAAGTGACTACTGTACCCTTTTCCTCCATCACTCCCAGTGGCGCTTCAGCAACATCAGTCTCATGTAGGTAGAGGCAAAGAGAGGGAGGCTAAGGAGGAGGGTATTGTAGTGGCTGAGGGATGAGGGGATGCTTCTGAAAGAGATAAAAGGGAATCAGCCCAGAAAGAAAAGGAATCTTTTTATCAAATAGCAAGAACTGGGCCAGATAGTTTTTATAGTAAGGGAGTAGTGAAGTTGGAGATCTGGCCCTAAGTTGCTACACTGGGCTCCAGGGAAGGCCTGGGATATGTGTGTGTGTGTGTGTGTGTGTGTGTGTGTGTGTGTGTGTGTGTGTGACACTGAACAAAGATAGAAGGAACCCCACACAGGTAGAGCCTTCTTGGGCTCCTTGCTGATTCGCTGAGATGTAAAGAAGCTTAGAGTTCAATGAGGCGAACATGCTGTCTTAACGGTGGCAGACGCGCTCCCCATGTGGTGCTTTTGGGAGAAGATGGGGGTGCTACGCTCGTAGTGAAAGGAGGGGTGCGGATTTTGGCAGAAGACTGGAGAGCGAAGAGGTTGTGAGAGTGCTCTTTAAAAAGAAAAAGAAGGGAATTTTTCTGTCATGTGTGAGAACAATGTAGAAAGATGAATGCAGCGAAGGGGAGGGGTGGGTGGAAAGGGCTGGCGCTACGCACAAGGCTGGGGGAAGGCTGTCAGAAGCAGTTTATTTTTTTATTATTCATCTGTCTTTATTGAGGGAACATTGGTTTACAACATTGTGTATGATTTAGAGAAGGGATTTAAAAAATGACAATGTCTGTTGTGCTAGGCAGATGTTGGTCCTGCCTTGCGCAATGTGACTTGTCTCTTTGACTCCAACACTTCCAAGCGAACTTGGTTTGAATTTTCCATTCTATCCTCTGGAAGCAAAGGGTAAAGTTTAACAACTCCGTCAGCCCAGTGGATCTCCACCAAGTTTGGATGGGCAGGGAAGCCAATCTTCAGTGAGTCTCAGGGGCAAGGTGACCCTGGGTGTAAGGGAAGGTCATCATGGAGGAACAGGAAGAGATGGTCCAGGAGAAGTCAGTGCTGTGCTCAGTCCACCCTCCTTCCAGCTCCTCCAAGACTTGTCTTCTTGATAGTAGTAGAACTACCTGTTTCTGGTATTAAGATCACACACACACAGAGTCTGGCCACTCTGCGTGTACCCAATAAATACATCAGGATTATCTTTATCTTGGTGAGTTCAACTCTGGGGGAACAGGGTGCCCTGATGGAGGCCTGATAGGCACCCATTGGCCCATGTCTACATCCCTCACAACCCATTCTCCTGTCTTCTCCATGCATGGATTTAGGACAGAGCCCCAGAGAATATTTGCCCAGTCAAAGCAATTGTTGACATCTCACCTCATCAAATAGTCTGAAGAATAAAAAACTCTCAGAGGTCCTCTTTACTGTGAAATTCTAAAATCATATTTATTCACCAATTCACAGAAAGTGTCATAATGACCACCAACATGAATCAGTTTGTAGGCATTTACAAGCCAAGGCTGAAAATAAATATCTGTCTGTGTTGAGTAGGCATTTAACAAATTACTTGGAAATTGCAAGAATCTTAATTATTAGAAATTTAAAGTTTGTGACTCAAACAAAGGTAAGATCACAGTCATGGAAGAAGCCCAACAGATTCCCATGATGGTTCTTATTTTCTTCCTATATCTTTATATACATACAGATTCTCAGTGCCCCTCATTCTGTTGGCCTAGAGTGGATAGGACAGCTCAATCAGGCAGGGGAAGGGTGCTGAGAGGAGGTGTGAGGATGGGAAAGAACATTTTCTCTGGTCTTCTGTGACAGGACAATCTCATTCATTGAGCAAGATAGCCATGTGCTCTCCTGATATTACATTCAACACTCTATAAACGGACACAGTCCTTCTAACGAGACAGTCTAAAGTTTGCATGATATCACACACACACTCACAATAGTATATTTAGCAAATAAACACATTTCTAGACTAATAGGATTCGTCTTTGAGGCAGAATAGCTCAGATGTCTGATGTGTGTCAGGTCCACACTGGCCCACCCCTCCCCACCAGGTTCAGCTGGCCACTATGGGAGACTCTGGCCAGACTGGCACTCACTGTCCAGGGAGTAGCAGTGATCAAAGGTGTTTCTTTAAAATGCTGCTATTTCTTCCTCTAGACTGTGTCAATAGCACAGAGGCTCCAAGGAGAGTCCTCTTGCCTCACCTCCTGATCTCAGATATTTCCCACATACACTGAGGTGGGTGATTGGGAACAACCAAATTGTGTATGTGGTGGTGGCATTTCCAGATCTGGTCAAAGGGCAGGGCTGAGAGAAGAAATTGCCAGAAATTCTAGACTGGCTGAGCCAGAACCCTTATAATGGTGCCTGACACTGGCAACATTCAAGAGCATTCAGGAGATGGCAGTAGCAACAGAAGGGGTGTCCCAGCCCCAAACCCCATAGAGATTGTTGCTGGGTGTTCTGCAGATGTGGTCTGAGCGGTACAAATCCATCATGTGAAACATTTCATCCTTGCTCCTGACCAGAGAGCCAGACCCAGGCCTAAAACTGACTGAACATTGCTCAAAATTTGCAAATTCACAATGGTTCAGGTTGGGAAAATCTACAAAGAGGGTGTGACAGACCTACTTCTCCGAGGCTCATTTAATTAGGAGTCTAGTTATACTCTTGCATCTCTCCAGAACAGTGACAAGGTGGACCTCCAATTTCCAAATGTTTACCAAACTCCTACTATGTGCCAGGTACTGTTCCCAGTGCTTTGAGAGCTAAAAGTGAACAACGTAAGAAAAAGGGCACCATCTGGAACAGTGCCTGCAATAAATTGAAAATGTGTCGGAACTATTGACACCTTCATTTTATATCTTATTTATTTTGGTATTATAGATATGTATCTATATTGATACACATATATTTAGATATCATTAGCTTTGTGTCTAGTAATTTATATTTAACACATTAACTAATTATCTGAACTAATGCCCTACCAAATCATTCTGACTCTTACCTTACTGACCTAATGTTCATGCCACTAACATAACACATCCAACACTAAATGCCTACAGATTTCTTTGAAAACAACCAACTTCTACATGCAATTTCTTTTCTAAGCTCACCAACTGGTTTTCTTCAATCTCCTTCCAAGTCTGTCCAGCTTAGGTCACCAACAACACTTTTTGGAAGCCACAGAGGCCAGGCTGGAAGCAATCAGGTGGACTGATCCATCACAACTAGTTCAATTAAGAACTAAATCACCTTCAAACAGTTCTGACTTTGGAGCAATTGCTCTGACAGCCTCTGTAGCCATACTGCCAGACTCAGCTAGAATCTCCTGAAACGTATATGGCTTACAAAACAGAGCAATGCTCTGATTTCCTGGGAGGGGATTGTTCCCTTTGCTGGCATGCCTACTGAGCCTCCCTGTGCCCTCTCCAGCTGAGTCACCTTTCCCCTCAATCCTGCTTGACTCTTTGAGTGATGAGTCCTGGGTAGCAGGTCTAATTTCCTCTCCCCCAAACGCTTTTGCCTTATTTCCACCACCTGAAAGTTTGCTAGTGAATCCCGCACCTCAGAAGCTCCTTTGCAATCATAAGGATGCTGGGGAGGAGAGGGGTAGGTGGGCCCCAGATCCATGTGTTCCATGTTGAGTAGGGTGGGTGCACTTTTGTCTGCAGGAGTGTATGTGTACGTTTCATTCACATCTGACCCACAGGCACAAGCAGAAGTATTCATCTCTCCCAAGGGCAGATACCTCTTCACCCCCCTACCCCCCGCCCTTTCTGCAGACTGAGGACTGTAACTGAGATTAGTGGTTGATTTTCTCAATTTGCTTTCTGCAAATATATGCAGCCTGTGAGCTCAATTCTCTGATAGTTCTTCCTGTTTAGGAAAAGAAGCCTCAGTGTGTGTGGAGGGTGTGTGTGTTTGCATGCACATGTGTGAATGTGCGTACCTGTGTGTGTGTCCCATTTTTGTTTGGAAATGTTCAGAGAAAGGGATCTGGGCAGCAGAGATACATTTTCATTTTGAGATAAAAGCAAGCGGACATTAAAGTCGACATGTTTCTGTTGCCTGTGATTAATACGCACGTCTGCATTTTGGCTCTTCTCACGTCTGTTGCCCTCTTTTCATTAGTCTATTGGGAATTGAACTTCATCTTGATGAATTTCCTCTGCAGTGAATTTGATCAAAGGGAATGGAGGGCAGCAGGCTGGGGTCTTTAACAGAGGAGGACATTGGCTCTTTCCTGGACATGATGTACAGGGAAGAGCCTAAGGGCTCACTAAGCTCGTCACCCCCCCCCCCCACAGCTCCTTTTACTGGTTATAGCTGGGGGGTGGAGGGCACTCTCTGAACAACCCACTCCTGTTCTTTCACCATTTGGGCAGCAGGAATATTGTCCTCCCCCCACTGCCCTTTATGTCATTTCCATCTGATTTGATGCAGGACCTGCACTAAGAGAAAAGAAGGGGGAATCTTTCTCCATAGGAACACTTTAATTTTTCAAATCTAGTCCACTCAGTGAGGTCAAGTGATCTCTGGTATTTTACTTACCAAGCACGTGCTTTGGGCCAGGTGCTGTGCCCAGGTGCTATACTAGACTCAGAGTGCTGAGAAGAAGAAATTCCTCTTCTTGCCTTGAGAAGGGGCCTGTGACAGCAGAGGAGGACTGCATGGAGGAGCTTTCTGAGCCTAACAGCACTATGTTCCCAGGGTCCAGTCATCCAGTGGAAAGTTCTCACAGAGTGGGAGCTGACTCTGGAGATGAGTGATCCCATTGGTTCAGAGGTGCCAGCTTGTCTCTGAACCAGAGACGCTAGCAATCCTGGGACACCACTCTCTCCACTGATTCTGACAAATACATACGGCTGGCACAGTTCGACCAGTCCCCTACCTGCATGTCTCAGCTGTGCCCAGCCTCCCCAGTGGGTGCCCCTCAGTGCTCACTCACCCCACCTCTACACTGCCCAGGCTCGATCTGAGCTTCTGACCTTCAGTCTATAATGTCTCCCTGCCCGGCCTGACTGGATGCAGGTCCGGGTCTGCCGACAAGCACAGAACCCACCCCGCTTCCACAACTACCAAAGACCTCTCCATCCATTTCCTGCTGTGCCATACCTTGTCCTTTTGTCCTATAGGAGGCTTTGAAACAAATGACCTCAGGGAAACATAAAATTGGCTTAATTTTGGGAAATTGGCTTAAAATTGGGAAAGAAATGTTTCATCAGAGAAATCACTGAGAGGCCAGGCTGGAGAGCAAACCTCTCTGTCACGTGAAGTGACATGAAGAAATACTTCACCTTCTCCTCTTGGGGCTCTGGCTGCCCCCTTTCTCTCTCAGTGGCTAACAACTCGCAAGCCCTTTGTGTACTAGCAGAGTGTACAAATATGTTAGAGATGAGTTGTTCTCGATATAATCTCCATGGTCTAGACTGGCTGAGCATTTAATCAGATCTTTCCATGCACTAAACTGAAGACACTCAGTGAGGAGACTGCTAAGATGACCCAGAATGTGTCTCTGGTCAAGAAGGAGTTGGGGTTCTTGGGACTGAAACAGCAGGTGATGGCTCTTCACAGCCATGTGTCTGGGCTCCTTCCTAGTCTTTTCCTCTTGTCATTCTACTCAAAAGCCCAGTGCCCCATATCTCTGACTTACAGGACCAGAAATCCCTAGAAGAGGACAGATTCTACACCACAGTTAGGTATAAATGACTGATAAAGAATCAACTAGCTCCTGCCAAGAGTTGTGGACCTGCACAAAGTTCAGACATTAAGTCAAAAAATGAAATCAATAGCTATTGACTAATGTGGGGTGGGGGTGGGGAAGGTGCAGCAGGGAATTGATAGAACCTGGAATCTTTGTAGGTCTTAGAAATTCTAGGTCCTAGATAGAACCAGTCTCTAGAGAAGGCTGCAGGTTTGCTTTTGATTTTCATTTTCTACTTCTAGTAACATCATCGGGAGGAGTTATTATCCTTCCAAGAAAAGTCATTGATTCTCCACTCAATTTGGTATTTGGGTTGTGACACTGCATGGCTCAGTCCTGTTACAAACATGGTAGCATCATTAAATGAGCCTCCTCTGTTCTGCCACGACCTGCACAGCCCCACCTGCATGTGAGCTGTGTGGAGACCAGTTCTCCTAAGGATTCAGGTCATGCTGCATTGTCCCTGCAGTTCTTGATGGACCTGCTTAGTTTAAAGAAGCCTGGATGGCAGCCTCCCTAGGGCTTGGTGGACTCACTAGTGCCTCTTCTGGGCTGTGTTTCTCCAGGATGAAAGGGGCTGGTCCTAAGGGAGGATTGGAATTGGGATTAGGACCAAGCTTCCCTGAAACCATTGCATTAGAGAGCATATATTGGAGCCTGGAGGGCCAAGGAGGGTGGGAGGAGGCAGTGTGTTTGGCCCCTTCTTGTCACTACACCAGTCATTTTATCTTCTTCATAGTCCTCTTCTCCCAATGCCAGTGAAAATCATTCTCATCATCCTCTGCTTCAGTGGTTCTCAAACTTCAGCGGGCATCAGAATCAGAGAACTACACTGTATAAAGCAGGGCTAGGCCCCACATCCAGACATTCTGATTAGTCGATCATGGTGAAAACCTCTCAGTGGCTGGCAAGACCAGGAGATCCTCAGGAGCACAGCCGGGTCTCCTTCATCCTCCCTTCCCTGTCCCTGGAACAGGGTCTGGCACTCAGCAAGAATTTGCCGGATCACACTGAACAACGCTGCAAACACAGAATCCCATCTGTTCACTGCTGGCATACAGGGGATTTTGATCGCTTTCTGGGGTGCCGGTGAAGTAACCTCTCTCTTTTTGTCTCCCTGGGATAGAGTCAAGTTTGGCTTCTCATTTATAGCCCTTGTAAAGCCAACTTCCTTTCTAGTTAGTGCCAACAAAACAAAAACAAAAACAAAACAAAACTAGAGCAAGTGCTATAAAGCAGGTAGAGAATAAATTTACAAAGTAAAGCAAATAAAGACAGGGAAGAGAAGGCACTGGAGTAGACTTCAAAACCCTCATTGCTCATTTCTCGTGCCTGCAGGTGGACAATGGGAAGTAGTTACATGAAAATTAAATTGTGCCAAGGGCTTTGTCTTGTCAGCCTCGATAAATGTCTACTGCAGATAGGGAACCGTTTACCTCCCCTAGCCTGCCAGGGTCCATAGCAGGAGGCTCTGGGCATCCCCTAAAGGCCTGAGAAATTATCTGATCTGAAAATCAACTGCTTTTCACTGATGAATTCCTTCAAAGAATGAGACTCACTTCCTCACGTTTTGGTAACACCTACTTGATTCATTTAAATGAAAAGATAGTTAAGAAAAAGTCTTCATTTTCTTCCCCTTGCTAGAATCTAAGAGTCAAGAAGACTGCTGGTTTTGAAATGTGCTGGACCGGGCTTTCTACAGATGATGTTGCACACTTCTTTAGGATCATTTTTAGAGCAATGACATGAGTGGGGCTGAAATGTCAATCAGTCAGAAACATGAACACTCCTGCTTAGAAATCAGCGAGGCTGGGTGGCCGGGAAGGGCTGCGCTGCCTCTGGGCGTTAGCCCGTGGCTCTGTGGGGTGGGCGTTCAGGGGTCGTCAGCTCCTGAGCCTGGGCTTTCTGCTCCAGGGGAGATGTGCCTGTGACTGCGTCAACTCAGTAGTACCAAGTGCCTTTTGTTTTCACATCTTCCTGGAACACTGGCTTTAAAGACAGCTTCATTAAGGACTGTATCATTGTTTGTTCAGTTGAGAGGCAAAAACCACTGGTGGCAGGAGGGCCAAAGATAGTAATATGCTTTTTTTTTTTTTTTTTTGGCAGTGGAGGGCAGCTTCCCTTCCCATGCACGTATGGCCTGACACACAGGCCAATTCTGACAGCTGCTAGTTTCCCTCTGGCCTGTGAGCTCAGAAAGGTTTGTATGCTTTCTATGCTTTTAAATGGTTGAAAATAAAAATCAAGAGTGATAAGATTTAGTGACATGTGAAAATGATATGAATTTAAATCACCTGCTTTTTCATAGTTCATAAATAAAGTTTTTTTGAACGCAGTCACACTCATTTGTGGATGCATTGTCTGTGGCTAGTTTCATGCTCTCAGGGTACAGTTGAGTGCTTGTGAGAGACCACAGGACCCAACAATTCCCAAGTATTTACCTGATTCATTACAGCTAAATTTTGCTGACCCTTGTGGAATGCATAGGCATGGAGGACATTGTTTCTCACTAGGAATCTTAGCCTTGGAGGTTGCACATCCATGTCCATGGCTACAGGCCTTGTTACATGCGGAGACGTGCAATCTAAACCCTGCTTGATTAGGATGATGAAGAGTGCGCGAGAGTGTGAATTGAAGGAGTTCCTGCTGCAATCACATTTTTGGTATCCACATGAATCTGTGTGTTGGTCTGAGCTACAGTGTTTCATTACACCTACTAGAACACACTGTCGGAATTCATAAAGGCAGGTGACCGGCTAATTGGCTGCTTTCCTGAACTGCACAACTCATTCTGTTCTGGCTTTTCCATCTCAACCTCCGCTTTCTCCTCCTCCCCATCACCTGAGTCGCTCATGGTCTTGGCCTATCTGTTTTCAAGCCCCAGAGAGCTGGATCTGGCCTCCACCTGGCAAGATAAGCAATGGTCGGAACTGTGGCCACATTGGTCAGCTGTCCTTCTGAGTACAAGTCTGCATCTACCGCTACTGAAGTGGGGATGCAAGGCCACAGGGCGTCTAGCCCATCTGTGAGCTTGGTTTCGGCTGCCAGCATATGGAGTGGGAAACGCTGAGCCGATGAATACATTTTTCACTTGTGGCTGGAACACTTGGTGGAAGGCAAGTTTATTACTCTCCACTCCCTGAGATACTTTCCAAAGGTTCAGCTACTCTTATGTAAAGGCCCCTTTTCACTCTATCCTTGGGGAGGAAAAGGGGGTTGGGAGCATGATAAAGGCCCACAGGCTCAGCAGCATTGCTTCCCTTTGGAGCTGGCATGCTGGGTAGCCCTACAGCAGCAGCTGATGGAAAGGGCTCTCCTTTGTCCCTCTACATGAGTCCAGTCACAAAGGCTCCAACTCTGCTGCCCTAACCAAGTACCATTTTCACCTGCTCCCTTCCATCCCCCATTCCAGCAAACCTCAAAACAAGTGATTTCACATACCCCAAACAGCTCAATAAAACAAGAATAAGTGATGCAGACATGAGAAACAGCTGAAGGGGATGAGGAATACCTTCCCCACCCTCACCAAACCTAAAGAACAAAGGTACTCTCACAAGTGCCAGACTTAAATATTTTAAATCAAAACCCAATTCAACAGAATTGGTTTTAAACATATAAAGTATTCATTTTACTGCCATTGTTTGGGGAGAGTTCTATTAGCTCCTAAATACCTGACTGATGAATCTCTTTTTATTTAACTAAGGGGATTGTGAGGAAAATTCTACAGATTTTCTCCTATAGATATGCAGAGCCAGCCTGACAGAAGAGGGCTATTCGATTGGGAGAATTCATTTAATGAATTTAATGCCCCAAACTTCTGCCAGTGTTTCTTCCAGAAGAAAGGAAAATTGAGTTTGGGTACCTAAAGTGATTTAGGTAGCCACTTCCTCTTCCCGGACCTTCTCCTTCCTCTGCATTTGTTTCTTATATAATTGTATGCCTATAAGCTCCCTTCCCACCCCCTGCAAATATAAAGTCCTCTGCAGGGAGGAACTTATTCAGTTTTATCCCTTTGCCACAGTTATAGGGTGAGTACTTAGCACATAGTAGGTACTCAGCAATGCCCATGAGTTGCACAAATTTGATTTAAGGATAAGCAGGGTGATGGGCATTGGACTAGGAGTGGAAAGCGGAAAGCCCAGTCTTGCCAATACCTCTGAAGGTCTCTGAATGAGATGCTGCCTCTCCAAACCTCAGTTTCCTCATTGCAATTGCATCTAAATACAGATGTCCCAACAACCTCACACAGCTATTGTGAAACTCAAAGGAGGGATAAGATGAAAAAATCACTTTAGGTAAGGAGAAAGGCAGCATAAGATTGTTTCCTAGAATCAGAAAGTTGCAAAGTCCTGTGCTGCATCCCCCTGGCTGCGGGTCCGACTAGAGGACATTGACCGCAGCCTCTTACTTAGGATCTCTGTTTTGATGACACAGGAAGCAGAATCGACAGATTCTGCACTTTCTTTCGAGCCCAAATGCCACTGTGACCAGGGGCTAATTATGTGCCCATGCCAAGCCAATATGGGGAGGGTGGAAGGACAGGGCAGATGATATGTGTTGAGGACAAAGACCACGGCATTTGAAACATAGACATCCTTGGTGCCTCGTGGAAGTCCTGGAATAGCCCTGATGCTTGCCTGCTATTCTCTTGGCCACAAAAGATCACAGACCGGTTACTATAGCAACAATTCTCCTCATGAGGTATCCATGTTAGGATGGAGATGGAAAAGATTTCCTTATTAAAAAAAGAAGAAAGAAGTAGATTAGGTTTTCAGATCTATTTGCCCTCCACCCAAAAGGCCGCTCCTTTGAGAAGAAGAAAGAAGAAGCTGCTATTATTGAAAAGATACTTCTAATTCCTAGCAAATTTCAAACTTCCATTTTAGACTTGGTGTAGTTCATGCTTATTCTAATACATCAGAGAAGAAGGGATTATCTCAAGAGGAAAAACTGAAATAAAGGAGGAGCCATAAGATTAGCTGGTGAGAGCATGTTGACCACAGTCAGGGCAGCCTCTGGCCAGGGGTGTGACTGCCCCAACTCCCAGATCCACACCTACCATGAGGCCCAGCTCTGTCACCTCATCACCCCTCCCCTCTGCTCCCTGGCTGCAGGAATGTTATGGCTGTTGCTTGAGGCAGGACCTATGTGGAGTGCCTGCTGGGCCCTGGAGTGGTAGGGGCGCCCAGCAGGGAAGCCACAGGATCTTAGCTGATGCCCAGGCAGGTCCTGCTGTGGCCAAGGGCCTATTCTTGGCTTTAGACTTCTCATATAAGCTTATGCGGCCTCATAAATGACAAAGATTTTCTGAGCTGAGGGGAGTGCACTTGTGCATGTGTGTTCATGTGTGTTCATGTGTGTGTGCACGTGGGCTTGCATGTGAACCTTTCCCCGCAAACTTAATTCTGCCTCAGCAAGAGATTTACTTTAAAGTATTAAGGACTAAGACCTTATGCGTGTGAAGTCCGACCACCCTGATTGTAGGCAACCTGGGGAGTCGGGAAAGGAGAACCTGCTGGTCGGCGTGGAGAGAGACGAAGGAGTTGGGGGCACGCACAGTGAGCTGGACCCTAAAGGCCTTGGGAACAAGGGAGCTGGGGGAGGGGAGCAACAGAAAGGCTGACCTTCTCCCCTGCAGAGGAGAGCAAAGGCAGCGCTCTGAGATTGGCTGACAGGACGCTGGGGAAGCCCAGGGCAGGTAAGCAGGGGCTACCAGACAAAGTCTGCCTTAAAGTCCCCACTGACGATGATACTGGGCTTTTTGAAACCACCCTGGGGCTGGGACATGGGAGGCCCTTAAGATATCAAGGGTGGATCCCTTGACAGAGCACTGGGGAAGGCTTGCTGAGACCTGTCATAGAAATCAGAGGTGACAGGTGACAGACTTGGGCATACAAGGGATGGGGCTTACAAAAGGGACACATGAGCAGGCACAGACAGTGGGCACTAGTAGGGGAGGGTGGAGTCATCCCACTCCAGCTGGGCTTGCCTGGCTCCGCTCTGCCCGTGTCTGCCCCTGCCCATCCCTTTCTCCTCCTCTTCTTCACTGTCATCTGAGTTGCTGCTGCTGGAGCTTACGTCTTCCTCTGCTTCTTCCTCCTCCTCCTCTTCCTCTGTCTCATCTTCCCCATGCCCTGGTTCTCCATGTTTCTGGATATCACAGACAAAAGAGAACTGATCATCAGGTGTTGAGCTTATGTTTCTCCTTCTGCTAGGGAAATGTTTGGGGCGCCTTGGAATTTCCTCCCCTTAATGCTAAATCTTTGGGCCTGGACATAGGTTTTCTGGAAGGTAGGTCTTCTGATGAAAGGCAAATCACAGGGCTAAGGACAAAGACAAGAAGTAGCCAGGCATGGATGCCAGTAACATGGGTATTGTAAGCACTGGACATTTTAAATCAATCCATCCATCCTTTACAGCAAGATTTTTAGGCCAAGGTTGCTCTTTGCTGTTTCTGGAGCCTATCTGGTTGAACGTTGCAAGCCTTAATTGCTTGCTTCTCACTGAGTGAATGGTATTTCAGCTTGTACCCCTTTTCCAGGCAGGAATGTGATGTCTCTGGAAGTAGACAATCTAAGACAAGACTCAGCTGTGCTGCCTTCTAGTATTCTTTTGGAAAGGAAAAAGTTCATGGTCCTCATTTTCCATGCCTGCCCCTTGCCCCCTGAGCTGTATTCTCAGACTCTATCTCATTCTTGTTAAGTCCCATCCCTGCTTCCCCCAGCTTTTTGGTGATTGCATTCAAGTCATATTTCTGGAGTTATATTCTGAGTAGATGAACCAGCCCGCAAAAGATGTGTGCCCACTTGGGACACTGTCCCCTCTGTGGAGCACCTGCCCTCCTGACACTGGCTTCCCCAGGTCCTACCCATCCTTCAAGGCCTCCCTTAGACTGACCTCCCCAAGGAACCTGCCCAAACACCCCAGCCTCAGAGACTATCCTTCTTCAAGCTTTGCTGGCTGTTGGCACTGCCATGTTAATCCTCGGTAGGCATGCTCTTGTCTGGTACTCGGACTGCCCCAGGCAGAGTGATCTTTTTGCCAACACCCACGGCTCAGCTCTTGAAGGGCAGTGCCCCACAGCGGTTTGCTCAACATTACACCTAGAGCACATGGTAGCAGAAGCTGAGTCACGTCAGCACACTGGCTTTAAGTCAGAGCAAGAGACTTGCAGAGTGGAAAACGGGACCAGGCTGGGATAATCCTTTCTCTAACTTTCATGGACTCCTCTCTATCTTCTCATACTTTCTTACTCCTACCTCTACCAAAACCCAGAACCTGGGGCAGACCAAAGGGTATGTTGTAAGTGGCACCCCTTAATATTGCTATGTCCAGAGCAGGGGCCGTGGACACTCATGGGTGGATCTGGGCACTGCCGGCTGACTGTAAAGATGTGAACATTAAAAGCAGACAACCTTGAGTCTGAATATTGGTACTGCCGTTACCAGTTCTGTGAATTAGAACGCTTCACTTTCCTCTGTTGCCACCTTGGTAAATGAGGACGATGCCGCCACCTTCACAGATTGCTGGGCAGATTAAATGAGGTGGTGGACAATGTCTGACATAATGGAGGTTCAGCAAATGGCAAGTATTACTGTTGTATTTTTGTTTTAGTCTATTCTGAGCCTTCAAATGAGCTCTGCAGGCAATATGGAGCAGTCATCTAATTTACGCTGTTAGTTAATCAAAAATTCAATACTGAGTCCCTACGTGTTAGTCAGCTCTGAGCTAAATATGATGGGGAGGGAACGGGGTAGACACCACATGGCTGTTTGCCTTTAAAAAACAAGCCTGGTTCTGTTTGTCAGCTGAGAGAATTCACACTCTGTAAATCAGGGAACACAGCTGGTGGGAAAGCATGCCCCCTCTCAGGCTGAGGGCTGGAGGACCTCGGAGAAGGGCAGGGTCCATGGTGCTGGGCTAGTTGGGGCAGACTCCAGATAGGAGGGATGAAGCTGTGTGGAGGGGGGGCCTCACCTCCATGGGGTTGACTGTGATAGTGAGCGCAGAGTCATCCCAATCCATCTCGGCCTCCTTGGCAGCCTCGGTCTCTTGGGTGAAGTGCTGGTGGGCGATCCGGATTCGGTACACACCCATGGCCACGACAAACACCAGCATGCACACGGAGATGATGATGACCACCGTGGCGATGCTTGGGACAACTGGAACGCAAAAGGAACGCATGTGGTGTGGTGGACAAAGGACGAGCTCACTCTTGGGATGGAGCATGAAGGAAATATCCATGTGTAATGGTTTACAGTCTTCCCTATGGGGTCCTGGGTCAGCCCCTTACCCTGTCTGGGTTTCACTTTCATCTATAAATGGACTGAATAATTTCTGTGGTAGCTGTGAGGAATAATGAAACTATCTATGTGAGTTATTGCCTAGGCACATAATAAGTGTAAGTTCTCTTCTATTACTTGCTTTTCCCCTCAATGACAGGGCAGCTCTCACTGAGAGCCAAGCTCTGTGGTAGGGTCACACACAAATACCTACTGGACAGTAATACAATATGGCAGGTGCTGGAAGTGTGCATAAGGGACTTCACAATACTTGTGTACTTGTCTGAGCACAAGTAAAGAGTTCAGGGAAAACTTCATTATAGGATATGACTTTGTGTTGGGCTAACAAAACTTGGCAAAAAAGCCCTTTGTACTAAGCTCTGTTACAATATATTGTATATAACTTCTTGTGTACTTGACTGGTTCCCTACAGAGGCTGCGAGTGCCTCAGAGGAAAGGCACTACTTCTACAGCTTCCCTGTGGCTGGGTCCCTCCCAATCCTGGTACCTGAGGTTTAAGTGGATGATCTAGGATGCCCTGAGGTTCCTCCTCCAGTGACCTACCTGAACTGCGTCGGATGCTGGTCCGTGACTCTGGGTGGTGGACAGACTGGAGGAAAGGAGGCTGCACAATAAGGTGGTTGACATGCTCTGTGTCTGAGACTCTCACTTCATGGAGCACGCTGACCTGGGAAGAGCAGGGGGAGGTGCTATTAGCCAGGAAAGGCAGATGGCCAGGGGCATCAGGCCTCCTAAGTAAATGAGGAATGAATGGATAGGCCTGGGTTTCCCAAGCAACCTCAGGATGAGCTCACCTCCAAGTTGAACTCATTGCTGGTGTAGCGCCCATTGAGTTCCGAGCACTTGATCCGGAACCGCCGGGCCTCCAGGGAAGCCGGACGCCAGTTGCGGTAGCGGATGTGATGCAGGACCTGCTCGTAGCGGCTCATGGAGCCCACCCCTGTGTCAAGAGACCACGTCTGTCATGAGAAGGCAAAAGAGGAGGAGGAGGAGACAGGTTGCGGCTATGGGGCTGGTGGGCTTCTGAATTGGTCCTGGGTGAGTACTTGAGATAGTTAGGGCAGACAGTGTGCAGAAGAAGTTCTGAGAATTGATTTTAGCCCTCGCCTAAATGTTTGGTCTAATATGCCAAATGTTGCTGTAATGTTTGCTTAGATCAATGATTGTAACAGAAGCCATCCATATAGTTTCTATAGATTTCTCCAGGAGAGTGAGTTGTACCAGGACCTCAAGCTACTGGAGGAGCTAACCAAAGGTGAGGGCAGAAGTCCATGTGCTGAGGTCAAGGTGTAACAGGGTGGTCCCCAGGAAAGGGGAAGGTCCCTGTCCTATAACAAAGGGGCCCACCTGACCCTACCTCCACAGGTCACAGAGCTGCCCTCACACTCCTGGCTCCTGGAGGAGGCTGCTCTTTGAGGAGAGCACAGGATAGGGCTGAATGTGGCTTACCGTAAATGGAGTATCCTGCAGTGGAGTTGGTGGCGTCCAGGTGTCGCTGGTGAAGCTCACTGTGGTTGAGCTCCAAACACTCTTGCCTTGGGTCCAAGTCCCCTCCAAGCACCAAAATGTCACAGAAATCTAGATTGTGAAGCATTTCTTCTAAGACTGCTGATTTGGGGGCTGTGGGAAGACAGACGTGTAGAACCACAGACATGAGGACAGGTGAGACAAAGGCCCTTGCTTCTCCCCAGACTCCTATGTGCTTGAACTACAGGTGCAGGCTGTGTCAGGAGAACGTGCTGTGTGATCCCAAAAATCACCTCCACTGCTCAGATGGATGTCCAGATAATCCCCCAAGTCTGGGTGGCATGAATTTGGGTGAAGCACATGAATATTATGATCAAACGGTGTAAAGCTGAATGCAGCCACTGAAAGGTTATGTGCTATTAGAGAAAGTATCTGCTTCTCAATTTTCTCATCCAGTAAGAGGGCAAAGGTCTCATGAGAACTTCAAATAGATTCTGGCACACAGTAGGTGCTCAATAAGCTACTCATTTGGCACCAGAGATAAGTGCCCCTCCACTGTGCTCTCTTAGCTTTCCCCATGTGGACCTGGTATGTGTTTGTGTCCCCCACCCCCCGGAGAAGCTGAAGTTCTCAAGGGAGAAGCAGTCTTTTTATGACTGGCTCCTCTGCCTCTAACCCAGGGCCTGGCATGGAGCAGGACCACACCCACTGCTCAGATGGAGTTTCCTGGCTGAAGTAATTAAATAATTAAGCACATTGGCCAGTCTGGTTGGCAAGCTGTTGGTCAGTTGAGCTGTCCTTGCCTGATTATATGACCCCCATATTCTCAAAGTAATGTCTGAGGATTTGATTGCTGGGCAAGTTAGCTGTCCTAAATGAAAACCCCACTGTAAAATCAAAGTGATTGGTATTTATGGAGTGATTGTGATGTTCCAGGCACTATACAAATGAAATCCAACCAGCAGACATAAAGGGATACTATTATTATCTGCAGAAATGAAAAGATCCAGAAGTAGGTGGGTTGCCCTGGGTTACACAGACAACAGCACAGGAGCCGGGACAGAAACCATGACTTTCTGATTCTAACAGTATGTAAAGTCTTAACCTCTGGCCAGTCTTCCATTGTTTTACATCTTGCAGCCTTTTATTGAAAAATCTGTGAACTGAGCTCATTTAAATATTTATTTATTAAGTGGACTAACATATCTTGTGCATTTTAAAACATTTATGATAATAGAACTTTTAAAAGGATTCATTAAAGATGAGAGAATTACTTAAAATAATTATTTTATTTTAAATTTTTTAGTGATACCAAAAATATGTGTTTGCTCTCACTAGACATACATTATTATAAATAATTTTGTGTGCTTAAATTTTAAATGCTTGCCAATCTCACTGGCTTGGCAAAATCTAAAAGCACATTAGAAAGCACTTAAGACAAGCCCTATCATTAGCAACAGTGCATGTGCATCTTTATTTCCAATGCCTTTCTCCTGGCTGCTGGGTTTTCTGGTAGCCTCTTGGCAGGTTGGATGAGCTCATGTCCCCCTCCATCCCCCCCAAAGTGCCTGGTCACATTAGGTCGGGGAGGTAGTCCCTGCCACCTTCTTGTTTTTCTCTTGCGCTTGCATTATGGGCAGTATCTTCCATATGCAGTTCCTTTGATTCCCACTGTGCCTAAGGGGCTGAATCAGTCATGGTGGAGGGCTTGCAACTGTGTGTTGGAGGGAATCACCAGAGGTTGGGGGTCTAGGGGTCATGGTGGTGGTGGGGTGACCTTCTGGAAGAGAGGCTGAAGGCAGAGATGTTTACCAGCAATAACGGCAGAGGAGAGAGAGGGACCTTGCAGACAGAGGGTAAAGTATGAGCAACAGTGTGAACCAATAAACATCCAGGAATGAGGGCAAGAGGGGTGTGCTTGGAAATGATTAGCCTTTTGTACTGAAGTAGCACAGCATGAGTCAATGGGCACAGAAGATACCAGAGCAGGTCACTGAGGTCATATGCCTGGTGGCAAATGCAATTAGCCTGCTTGTTTAAGGTACCCATAATAATGATTGTCCTAACAACAATAAGAGCAATATCTACAAAGTTCTAATAATAGCTCTTGGCACTTGCATGAGATCTGTACCTCCTTTCATAAACAGAAGGCGAGTTACAGACCCAGATAATTGCTTTCCCCTGCCTGCTGCTGTAAGCTGGTGTCAGGCCAAGTGAATCCAGATGCTGGTGGCCTGCAGCCTCTGAGGTCAGAGACCCTTCCTTTTCCTGTCTGATTTTAGCCACAAATGAGGGGAAGAGGTAAGATCACGCTACCTGCTGCACCCTAGAGTGTTACCTGGAAACTGCTTTGCTGGACAGGTGGTAGGACACCATCTATTTTTTGTGAGTTAAGAATTTTCAAGGCACCCCATTCCCTGGGGGTCAGGGTGGTTTAGGGCAATGGGTAATTAGGACTGGTCTAGAAGCAGCCCTTTAGGGACCCGGGTCCACAACCACCAGTACCTCATCAGCAGCTGCTCTTGGAGGGGAGGACAGACAGTTCTCAAATGGCTTTTTTCCCCTCTAGATCTGGGCCCCACGTTTCCCTCTCTGTCTCCCTGCTTCCCGTCTTTCTTTCTTTAACCTTCCTTCTCCCCTCCCCACCCAGTAACTAACAAACTCCATAGTAGATAATTCAAATTACTCTACTTTCACTGAGTAGTCCTCCCCATAATGAATCTGTTGGAAATAATAACTTGAATGTTTCCTGAAAGCTTAGTGAAATACTGCTGAATAAGACCTGACTTCTACTGTGTAGATAGATATTAAGGTGCAGTTTTATTCCTTCTTTGTGTTTCTTTACTTTTTCTCCTGATTATCAAAATAATACATGCTCACTACAGAACATTTGGCAGTTGCAGGAAAGTAGAGGGGAATGGAAACAAATTGACTCAACATGCTTCTCAGAGGGTATCACTGTTGGCCTTAGGGTGTTTCCTTCTTGGCATTTCTCTATGTATAGATTCTCTAACTTCACATCTTGCTTTCTTTTTCACTTATCATTTAGTGTAAATGCCTGTCCTCCAACGTCATTCTGAGTGTGTCAGAATTTGCCAAGCCACGTTCCTCTCCTATTATTTATCTGCATTGTTTCGATGTTTATAAATGACCCTGTTACGGTGAACAATTCTCTTGTCCCAAAGTATGATTTTCCGATTTTCCGTGGCTGGGAGCACTTGAGTTTCCCACCCACAACCCAGTATGCACCAGGGCACAGGTACCTGTGGTCTGCAAGTCACCCGGGGCCTCGGCTCTGGCGAAGGTGCTCACGATTTTGAGGTCAGGGAAGAGGGTCACCCCTATGGCACTTTCAAACTGGGCTGCGGGTCTCCAGAAGCGCTCGGTGCCTCGGAGGGTGATCTGGGGTTCCATGGCCTGCAACACCATCACGTAGGCATCCACATCGGGGATGCCGATGCACACATCTTCCCCAAAGCACCTGGGAAAACAGCTGGCGTCAGGGCAGCGAAGAGCAAACACCAAAGCCATTGTCATATGACCGACAATGAGGCCACGACCACTTCCAGACCTTGAATGGCAAAGAATCTCCAAGGATGTCAACAGACATTCAAATTTAAAGCCACATTATAGTCAAAACTACTAACAATCTAAGGACTTAAAAAGATTGGCTCCTGGGGGAAACAGGAATTTTCTATACCAGCAACAAGTAACCGTTAAATCTTTAATTATCTTTTAACAAAGTAATAAATGGCAACGTTAATTGGGTAGCAACTGCTTGTTATGTGCTTTAGTATTTGGTAAGCACAGTGTTGTTTAACTGGTTGGCTGCAGCCATGCTACTAAATGGGACCCAGGGCTAGGCTCCCACGCTGCGGAGAGAATGTTCTCTTTGGGAGGAGAACTCACAGTGCCCACTGCAGGTGCAGGAGCAGAGAGCTGCCATAACCACCCTCCTCTGCCTGATGCACAAGAACAAGGCTGGGGAGTGAGATAGACAAGGGTTCACAGCCTGGCTCGGCCCCTCCTGGGCTGGCTGGCTCCAGGCAAGGGACTTGACTTCTATGAGCCTTAGTCTTCATGTATACAATAGGTCTAGTCTTTATCTACACAGTCTTACAGTAGCAAGGATTAAATGCACATAGGATATAGGAAAGAAGCCAACCCAGAGCATGCAGCCTGGTGGGAGCTCAGTAAGTGTTGACAGATCCAATTTTCTCATCAGACCTCATCAGGCATTGCCACTGGCACTGTCTGCTGCCATCTAGGTCGAAGATCTAGCTCCATGGAGAACCCCAGGGCCCAGATGGATGCTCTGGGAATGCTGGCTGGGCTCCAGCTGGTGGCAGCTTTCATCTTGCATCCTTTGGGATAATTTCTTAGAGAAGGGTAGCTTGGGTGGACTCCAACCTCTCCTATGGGGTCCTTGTCTGCTTCCAGTTTTCTGGGTCCTTTGTCACATCAACCTCAATAATCCACCAATTTATGGGGAAGCCTGGTCCCAGGGCTGGAGACTGGTAAAGTGGTCCCTCTTCTTCACTGTAATGTGGAGGCGACTTCTCTCTATTCCTAGCCTCCAGATGTGTCCTTTGGTGTGGAGGTGGGAACACCTCCCCTACTAACTATAGAACATAATTGGGCCCTGTGGGCTTCATCCTGGACCTGTCCCAGGCTCAGTCATGTGGCAGTCAGCAGACCCATCTTTCCCACTCTTGTTCCTAACTTTCTGGGTCTTTTTCCTGGCTTCAGGGGCCATGGGACTCCTATTTCCCAGGGTTTTTCTGGGGTTCCTTTCCTAGCTGCCTTCCCAGATACTTCCTGTGGTTGAGAAATTATTTGATAAGTTGTCCACAGCCTTCAGTAGTAGTCTCATCTCCTCAATTGAACTCCGATGCCCAGGGACAAGAACAGTGCCCTTGCTGTCTCTCGAATACCTATGGTATCTAGGAGCGCCAAAAGCTTGGTTGATTAATTCAATTTAATAAACATTTGTCGAGTAGCTACTATGTATCAGGCATTGTACCCTTAAATCAGATCACAAACTCAGCTCTTTGAAATTTTACAGGAAGCAGTGCCTTCTAGGCATTAGATCAGATAAAGAATGAAATAGAGAAAGCTGGTTTGAGATGGCAAAACAATGCAACATTTTCTTTGAGAACACAAAAGGCGAATATAGGTCCACTGGGACATCCAAATAGGGTGAGAAACAAAACTGCCAACAGCTGAAGAGAGAGGAATCCTGTTTTGCAAGGGAACATCCCCAAGGGACCATCCCTGTGCCTCAGTTTGGCCCAGGCTGACTAGTGACCACTCACTGGACTTTGGAAGAGACTTTGAGGCGCCGCACACCAGCCGTCGGGAACTGCCTGGAGTTAATGTAGGACACCTTCTGGAGGGCGTGGTTGATGTTCCCGATGTCATCACCTTCCATCACCAGGACAGACTGGGAAGGGTTGAAGTGATACTGAAGGCAAGGCAGAGAGAGATGGATGCAGTGAGACACTCATCTGCAGGAAAAGGCCACTGTAGCCAACACACTCATCTCGAAAGCATTCACAAGTTTAACAGTTGTGTGCACAGAGGAAGGGCTTAACACCTTAAGCAATTCCTGCCTCCCTCTGGTGGGCTTTGGGGCCCTTCCTGTGAGGTTTCCTGAGGATGATCCACTCCCCTAAATATCAGTCCCGCCACAGGATGGATTCTGCAATCCCAGACACTGGAATCTTGGCAATGGAGCCCTCAGAGAGGTGGCCCATGCCTCTGAGGGGTCCTGACCACCCACCCCCTCAACCTCCAGCCCAGAAACTTTGGACTTTGGTTCCTTTCACTCTATTTTATCTTTGCTCTTGAACTGCCCCTCCATTCACCCTGCTGTCTACTTTCTGACAGCCCCCCATCTTCTTAGCTTGCAACCTTGAAATTCATTTTCTAGCTTACGGCTTTCCTTTTCTCTTAGGTTTGATTCTTGGTCTTGCTTTCCTGGTGCTAAACTCTGGTTTCCCATGAGTTTCACTCATTTGCTATTTATATGCCTGCAGAGGTTTGTTGTCTATCCAGTCCCTCCTGAGTTCCTGGTATCTCTTACTTGGCGAAGGCCGAGGCGACTATGTGCTCCCCACTGAGGCTGCAGGTACAGACTTGGGCTTCTCCCTCCAGTACTTACTCTTCTTTAAACAGGGCATGGAGAACTGCTTTTGTGCTTGTTTGAGTTACTGATCTTGACACACTGAGCAATAATTACTAGGAACTGTTACCCATAAGATGTCAGAAACATTATCTGTGGTGTCAACTCATGTCTCAAAGAAGGGAGAAAAGGATGATGAAGCTCATCCACAGGAAAGGGTGGATATATGTTTTCATAGCTACTTGACAATTATTTACTTTTTGAAGAGATAATATATTCACATGGTTCAAGTACATAGATATATAGAAATGCAGAGATAATTAATAAAGTAAAAATGTACATCTTATTTCTAGATCTTATCCATTTAGTTTCCATAATCCTGACAGATCATTACTGTTACATTGATTTCTTAGAGACACATTCATAACAAATTGCTTCCCCTCTTACTGGGAAATTAAACACGTCTGCCCTATTGTCAACAGGCCCGATCATGTGATTATGGTCCCCTTTGCACGACATACATTTTTACCCAGTTGAACTCAGTAGAGGTCATGTGCCTTGCTTGACCAATGAAATGTGGGCAGAAGTATTGTTTGATTTAAACCCATGTGGGAGATTTAACAGGAAGTTAGTGGTTTGCCGTGCCCCTCTCGCTCTGCCATAAAACCTGCAATGTTTCCTTAGGGCCTGATCTATCAACCTGTGGTGGGGACGATATGGATCAGGATCAGAGTTTCAATAATCCATCATAAACATGAAATGTGAATAAAACTACTTTGTTGCTTAAGCAACTGAAAATTTTAATTTAATTCATTACTGTGGCATAATCTAGCCTAATCTGACAGTTACACTTAAGCAGTCTATGACTGTTTAATCAATTTATATTGATTTCCATTTTTCTCCTTTCTTACACTGAAGGTGGGTTACTACAGACTATATTGTACTTTGATTTTTCCACTTAGCTCCTATCTTGGAGGTCTTTCTGTATAGTACATAGATAAATTACTTAACTAGTCTTCTATGGACATTGGGATTGTTTCTAATCTCTTACTAACAATGCCACAATGAATAAATTTGTACACATAACATTTCACAAGTGTGCAAATGTAGCTGTAGAATTAATGCCTAAAGGAAAATGCCAGATCAAAAAGTACATGCACTTTAAATGTTGCCAAACTCTCCATTGTGAGGCATTATATCAATAAATACTCCCTGGGGAAGATTGCCTCTTTACTGAAAATCTCAACAACAGAGTATACTGTCAGACTTTGGGATATCTGCCCATATGAGAGGTCATAAATGCCATGGTATAGCTGTAATTTGTACTTCTTTTGCCAAGCAGGAGACTAAGTATGCTTTCATGGGTTAAAAGAAAAATCTATCTATGCTAATTTTTTCTTGATCTGACTTGAGTGTCTTTATGAGTTCCTTGTTCTGGGCCTGAACCTTTGGAGGCGGGGAAGTATCTGGGGCACCATTGCTGATACTGATCCACATAAACCCCTGCATTGTTGCCCCTCACCAGCTGGTACCTCAATCTTTATCTCCTTCAACTCTCACATGCTTTATTGTCATCTCCTCCTCCCAGCTTCCTTCATTTGGGCCCTCATAGATTTCCTAAGTGCTAATGAATTGGCAGTACAGTTACTACAGAGCAGTGACCGTGAACTCACTGAGGATGGTGCTCACTCTTGTTTCTTAATCCCAGAACCTAGCCCTGTTAGCGGGACTAGTGAATGGTCCCCTATGCCCACCCCACACAATTTACTCAATATCATCTCCTGTTATTCCCCAAAGAAATGTTGTCACTTCATGGGCCTCCCTACCCATGGAGGCTCCCTACGCTGGGAGCCTCCCTAGGGAGCTGCCCCAGAGGGGTTCAACACTCCTCCCTGCAACCCTGAAGCAGGGGCCACAGGGTGGAATGCCTGCCACTTCTGGAGACTTTTGGAGTAGTCTGGCCGGCTGGCCCACAGGCAGCACTTGGGCAGCAGGTGGAAACTACTCCATTGTCACCAAAATGGATGCTGCAGGAGTCCTGGGGGCTCCAATGCTCAAACCTGGATAGTGTGGTTGGGAGGAGAGCGGGGAGAGAAGTGCCTGTAGGCAGTGGGTGCAAACAGCAGAGAGCCACAGGTCCAACAAAGCTGGCCAGCCCTGAGTCCTCTGGTACTGCGGGGATCCAGGTACATTTTTAGTCACGTCTCCCTGGGAGTCACTGTCAGTGCTTACTATAGCCTGTTCTCCTTTTCTTCCTGAGCATCCTGGACACTTCATTTCCCAGCTGCCTAGCATGAAGTGTGTGGGCAGGACCATGTGACTGCCCCTGGCCAGTGAGCCGTGAGTGGGAGTCACCTGCCCCTCTGGACTGAGGCAGTGAAAGCCCCCAGCAGCCCTGGTCTTGTTCTTCCACAGCTTTGGTTCTGGCCAGCAACTGCACCCCCCCTACCCACCTCGGAGTGAGAAAAAAACCTCTTAAGCACTAGCCCATAGACATTCTGGAGTCATTTGCTGCTGCGATCACTTAGGCTGTTGGAAGAATCAGTCTTTTCTGGTCATGCTTCTCACCACCCCGAGACAGTACGGCATCTTTGAAAGATGGGAGCACCCATGTTGCTTACCTCAGTTCCAGTATACTCTATGGAGCACAAATGTGAGCTATTTGCTTTTCCCTTGTGAGTTTTATTTCCTCATTTAAATAATAAAGATGTTAATATCTACCTGTCTGGGTGAAAGGAGGTAACATAGATGAAGTACTGAGCACTTAAAAGGTGTTTCATCGATAATAGCTTTCATTATAAATCTTTTTTTTAAAGATTTATTTATTTATGCATACAAGAAATGGATGTAGGCCAAAAATGCGGGGGGTGAGAGGAGCAGCAGGTGAGATCGGAGAGGTCCACTGCCCTATTGTGGGTTAGCTCCCTGGTCTGCTGGGGATCAAACTCCTGCTGCAGTGATTGCTAACAGCTTCATAGTGCTGTGCTTAACCCCTTGTGCCACCATGGAGGCCCTCATTATAATTCTTAATACTGCAATTGTTTTAGTACTGAGTCTTTGTCTATGCTGGTGCCCCTGCCTTCATATTTTCTTGTATTCCTATGACCCACTTCCTTCCTGTTCTCAAAACTCTGAGCAGGGCCCCTCTGAGCTGGGATATCTGGTCACTAGGACCACTTCTGCGCTGGATTTGGGCATATACACCAGCAATGCCACAGTCTGCCTCTGGGTTCGCTCCCCCTTTTCCATGGATGACTCAATGGCTCAGGTGCTCAGTCATGGAGCTGCCATGGGCTGGTGAGTCATCACCCCGTCAGAGTATTTCACAAAGCAGCCCTTTCAGATTTGAGCTGGTTCAAGGTCATTCTTCTAAAACACCACTTATGTTCCCTCATGTTCCCCCCACCACTACCACCACTCCTGCCCTAGCATAGCCTCGGGGTTCTGGGGTGGTTTGTCAGTTAGTGTTCTTCCACCAGTTAGTGTTCTTCCATCAGGGGTGTGAGCCCTTGAGGTCAGGGTATACTGACTTCTCCTCAGTACCCCCACAGGGTGTCACACCACACAAAGCATGAGACAAGGCTAAAGTTGGGCAGAGGAGGCTGATCTCTAAGCCTCATGTCACAGTTGAACAGTGTGAGTACACTGTAAAATTTTCTGGAAATGCTCTGGCAGATAGGAGAGCAAAGCCATCAACACGGCCTTGAAGTCTGAAACAGCTGTGCAACATTTGATGCCTGCAGATAAAGCCAGTCTTTCAGCCCCACTGACAAACCAAGGAGCCAGATACAGAGGATTTGATAATGGCTTTTGCATCCTTGCAAAGCATTCTTCAGAAAGGAAGAGGTTAAAACCCTCCTTGCTTTCCTCTGTGCATAGGTAGTACAGACTATCTTTAGGATGGAACAACTTAGAACTAGAGGCTCCCCTGCTAAGAATAATTACACTTTTAATCTCAGGACTCACTGTTCCTACCTACATAACCTACCTATATAAATTCAAACTTCTATTTGTTGGTATACTTGTCACAGAGTAAAATCCCTCAGACTGTGTCTTGGGTTGGAATCATCATTTTGAATATCTAGTAAACTGTCCAACTATCAGTGAGATTTTCTTTCCAGTCACCGAAAGAAAATTCACGCAGTACTCCCAGATGATTGTCTTCTTCTCCTGACAGTCAACAGGGGGTACCGCCCGACTGCTGCCACCTAGGGGAAGAATGGGGTAATGGCTTTTGGAGCGCTGGTTAATTCTCTAGAGGCTGCCAAAGGCTGTGCAAGTGGGCACTGGCCTAGTCATCTGCACAGTTCTTACAGTAAAACCTTCCACTAAACTAGGTTTTTGTATAGTCATCGTGATTCTGTACTTTGAAAACAGAGCACTGCTAAACAGATGGTCTTTGCAGTATGCTCAGCTCGCCTCGAAGGTTGCCTGGTGTTACTAGTCACCTAGCAGGCTGGGACATCAGAGAAGTCCCTGACCCATAATCCTGGCCTGTTCCTGAGGGCATGTTGGCCATGACACTCCAGGTACCCTGCCATGCCCTTTGGCATCTGCCAGCCCCTCCAGACTGGGCCAGAGGAAGATTTGCCATGTTACAGGCTCCTCTGCCACAACCGTCACCTAGGTTTACCTTTCTAAAACAATTGGGCAGCAGCAAAGCCAAGTGCAAGGCCAACTCAGCAGAAAGGAACTGTAATATGTTGAGAGCCTATTTATTAGATTTGTTAGGGGCGATCTCTATCGCTATTGCATTATATCTCTATCTTACCTGCATTTATATTTGATTCACTATAAGATAATACTAAGTGCATTTTATACATGAGGGAATTGGGGTTTAAAGTATTGTAGTACCTTGCCCAAGATCACCCCACTAGTAAATATCTGTCCTGTGATTTGAACCTAGGAGTGTCTTGTCTTAGAGCTCTTTCCCACTCTTACATGCTGTGGAATGAAAATCAGTACAGGGTGTGCCTCAGGAATGTGGCTATTCCACGGTATCTTTTATGGATACAGAACAGTGACAACCAAACAATTTAATGACTCCTGACATATTGGAGAAATATTTATAAATAAGCATCATCCAGGGGAAAACAAGTAAAAAGAGGAACCTATACTGTGAGCAGATGGGATGTTTTCCTAATCACAGGAAGACTTGCTTTGGATTAGCCAGAGAGAAGGGTGGAGGCCAGGAACCAGTCAGAAAAAATAGGCATTATTCAGAAAGGAAATAAGGGCTAAATGAGGGAGTGCAGGAGGGAAGGTAATTTTAATAATTTTCTAAGAAAGACTTTTACTCTGAGTTGCGGGTGTGAAGAAAAGAGTAAGGGCTTATTTTGGACAGGTCCCTGTGCGCCAATCTTATTTCTATAATGGGGTCATATTATTTAATTTGCTTTGAGGAGTAGGGAAAATGAAGTTGAAATCACCCCCAATGGATGCCCTTTAAATTGTGCGTCTTCTCACACAGTGCTCCAGTTTTGGCCAGCCATGTCCTTAGGATAGAGAAGGATCATTTGCAGTGATGGGTGATGAGCAGGTAGCATCCTGAAAAGCAGAATAAGTGCCTCCCACCTCACAGCTTTTTTAGCACCTCCTCTTTTCACAGGCTGTGACGTCTAGATAGAAATTGACAGGTGATTAGCTATGGTGAGCACGTGTGTCTGTGTATTCAATGCATGTTAAACAATGTCCGATGAAGCCACCAGGGAGGCCCTAGAAATTGCTATCGTTCTTAATTGCCATTGTAAGGATGTGTATTCTTAGGTGCAACATCTTTGGTTTATTTGTTCTGTAGTGACGGAGACCTGAATTAGTGGCCCCATGGATGGTCCCGAGCGGAGAACATTATTTAGAGGCAGGGAGCAAATTCTGAGCCAGACAGAGAGGAGAGGGAGAATTTCTGCCTCACTGGGTTGCCAGCACTCTAAGGAAACAACATCAGGAGTAGGTTAAGGGTCAAACCTCACCCAGCTCTGCGAGTGAGGCTATCGGATTAAAATGTGCCGTAAGAAACTTGTCATGAATAGAGTAGTGTAAAGTCAGTCTTTCCAACAGAGGTGGTCTGTTTCCTTCAATGACAGGTGATTAGCTATGGTGAGCACGCGTGTCTGTGTATTCAATGCAAGTTAAACAATGTTCGATGAAGCCATTCTTGCTTTACCCTATCTGTGTTCTCCCATCTCCTCTCCCTGACCCAGTTTCCAGGGTCCTAAGCCTCCCACATCTACCTGGATTGTACTAGCTACCCTGATGACTGTTATACCTACAGGGAAAAAATGTCGACACCTAAATAAAGTCAAAAATCCCCATGGTGTGTGGCCTCTGCCTACCTCTCTGGTTACACTCTCTACCCTTCCTTCTGCAATGTGGGCCCTTGTGAGCACTGACCTTCCTGGGGTTCTAGTGCGCTCCCTGGTTCCTCAGCCCTTTGCCCTGCCTCATACTCTTGGATCTTCCTGTAGTGATGTGCTCCTCCCTCCCCTGGCCTCCTCCCCAGCTCCCACGCTTTTCTTGGGTTTAGTTGTGCCTATCTGGAACATTCTACACAGGCTTTACCTCCTTCAAGGAGCCCTCCCTAACTGTCATGCTCCCAGGTTCTGTTGCTCTGGGGCAGGGCTTCAAAATTTGCCTCTGCTTCTTACTATTTCTGGGCTCATAAGCAAATTTTCTTTTTCTTCCTGTCCTCAGTTTCTCGTGTGCAAAATGGGACTATTTGGGGGTACCTTTGTCACCAGGTTGTTTTGGGGTTTAAATGAGTTAATACCCATAAAACATTACAGTCCCTGGCACTTTGGGGAGCCTCAGAAAATGCAATGCTCACAGTCATTGTAACCACATGATGAATTAACCATGTATGCCTGGACCGCTAAGTTCCCTGAAGACAATAACCTTGGAATGTCCATTTGAGTCCCTTTACTCTGTCCAGAAAATACATGAGTGTCCATGAATGTTTGCTAAAGTGACTTAAAGAAAAGCATGATGTGCTCAGATCACTCATCCCTCCAAAGCTACCCTGCATCAGAGTTCCACAAACCCACCAACAGGGTATAGGTCACAGGGAGGGTGACTCCCTGTCCAGGAGAGGCAGACTGGAGGTGGGGTGGGGGAAGGGCAGAGTTCCGTGGGCAGCGCTGGGTGGAGAACAGGGGGCAAGTTGGGAAACCTCTATTCTGGTTCCTCTCTCTTTAGGAAATGGCCAAGAAGGAACCCTTCATAGTTGTGGATGCCTTGTGGGCAGCCTGTGTCCTAGAGGCTAAGGGGGCACCCTAACTTCTAGAGGTTGAGGGCCTGCCTGCTCTTGCTGGGATATGTTACAACTGAGTGGGGGCCACATTGATTTTTCTTTGCTCAGAAATCCAAGGCCCAAAGCTAGCAGGCGCTCCTCATGTCGGGAGAGACCAGGACTATTCCTGCCCATTGGGGAGTGGGGGATACGTGATTCTCTTGGATCACTCAAAATATTTTATTTTGCCTGGACAATAAAAATCATGGATCTGCTCACATTTCCTTTGATGACCAGATTGCTCGGAGCCCAAGCTGTGCCTCGACTTAAAGCCGTGAGACCCCGTGACCTCCTTGTCTGCCGTCTAGTTCCACCCACCCTGCTAACCTTCCTTTCTAATTTTATTTTACATGGTCCAAACTTTTTATTTTTTAAAAATATCTTTGAATGTATTCGTGCATGCCTCTTCAGTTCCTTTAGGCAAATAAACAACAAAGCAACCAATCCGCCAACAAATGAAACAGAACACTCCTTCCCTGTAGGCTTTCCACCCATGCCTGCTTTTGTGCAATGCATGAACTACACACAAAGGCTTCGCCTAGAAATTTCAGGAGACAGAAGCCCATCATGGAAGTTACTGTCACTAATCTCCCCTCACAGCAGCACCTTTGCTGTGGAACCATCTCTGTACAAGTTGTTTCCCGGAGGGCACCGGTGCTGGGTGATCTTATTGCGGGTGATGTCAGGCCAGCTCCTTCCTTACCTTTATCCCTTGGCCAAGACTTTCCAGGGAATTAATATCCAGTCCTTCCTTGCAGGCCTGCAGGCAGGAAATCACCTTCTGACTCTCCATCTTGCCAGGGCGGATGGTGAGACTGGCCAGGCTGCCGTGGAAGAACTGAGCAAATCGAGGTTTGGTGACTTCCCCACCTAGAAGATGAAGAAGCACACTTAATTTCCTCTGGGGATTGGCTAAGAAACACCACTCCAAGGCACCATCTGGCCAGGAATCCAAGGGCACAGTCACAGCATCCCCTAGACCTAAAGGAACTCCTCCTTCCCAATGGTGAGTGGGGCCAGAACTCAACAGACTGCCTCGTGCTCAAGGTCTGGTACTCCCAAGTACCTAGCAGCACTTGATTTAGAAATCCTGGAATTTCTGAATTTTAAAAAAGTGTTCGGAGGCAGGAACTGTCTTGGAGGAAAGGAAGGGCTTACAGAGTAAAAACAAGAGGGAGAAGGAAACAACCACTGATTTAAAGCTTGCCCGGTGCCAGGCTGTATGGGCTTCATCTGAGTGAGCCTGAGAGAGGCCATCATCGCTTCCAGCAGACATGCGGCGAACCCCACAACTGGGAGAGGAAAGGTTGAGGGGTTTGCCTAGGACACAGCCAAGCACCAGAGATGGCATATTAGTCCTGGTCTTTTTGACTCCAAAGCTGGCATTTGCTCTCCTATATCCTACAGAGAAATTCAGTCAAGTAATCCTAGAAACACAACAGCCATGGGTCCTGGCTCTCTAATAAGGAGCTGTTTTGCATTCCCTAAAATTCAAACTCTTTGGTCTAGATGGATTCCTTAATTCTGTTCTACCTTTGGCTTTCTTCACATTGCCCAATAATATATGTATGCTACCGTTGTCTCTACTGCGTGAGCTGAGTCTTATCTGCGCTTGGGTCCACTCTGCAGCATGTGAATGTGTTCACTGCTCTCCTGTTGCAGTCAGCCTGCAAGCCCCTTCCCTGACCCCACTTCTCCCCCATTCCACCCATTTTTAATCTTGGTTTTCCAAATAGGGTTTCCCCTAAGGTTTATTTGAAGCCTCCCCTCCTTCAGGATGTCCCATCATGGCTGAGCACAGACACCCTTCCCTTTCTAGGCTGCCCAAACTGACAGACTTAGCTTTGATCTTGCACTTCCGTTTGTTTAGAGAGATAGCAGAATACACAGGAAAGATGGATTTGGGTTGAACTCCAGCCTTGTTGGAGAGCCCTGGGAAGGGTTTGCAACCTCTTCGAGGCTCCATTTGTTTGTAGAGAACACATCTGTGTTTTGCCTCCTGGTACTCCTGTGTTTGCTCAGCAGGCTCCTGCACTTCCCCGATGCCCGCGGCAAGGTGTGGCCAGCCCACTCCCCCAGTACTTAGCTTCCCGTGTTTCTACAGCAAAGTGTGCCCCAGCCAGACAACTACTTGTAAACAGCTTTCCTCAGCAACCCATAGACAGATTTCTGGCAAACTCTGCCAGAGTGACATCACAGTGACTTCCCTGCCCTTCAGTGAGTCACACTGCGCCAACACAGTCTGTTCCTCAAACTGGAGGGTGGAGGCATCTCCCTTGCTCTTTTCAGCTCTGGGGGTAGTAGATTTTGCTGATAGTTACATTCCTATATTCTTCAGAGTTCTTTCCACTTCTTAGCAGCTAAGTCTTCATTATTCCAATCTTCTGTCATAGTTAATAATTCTTTATATTTCCCTGTTGAAATTACTTTGTGGTTTCATTTTCCTGATTGATTCCAGAATGATACACCCTCTCAATCTGCACACGTGACTTTGCTCATGCCCATTCCTCCCTACACTGAGAGAACACTTCCCAGCTGCAAGATTAGGTGAATCCTTCTGGTCCTTCACTCCTCTTTAGCCTTATCATCTGCTGCTCACAGAGAGCGCCCCTGGCCCACGATGCTCTCTCCTAGGCCGCAGACCCCGGCCCACAGCACCTTCTCCACACACTGAGCCTGGCAATGCCCTAATAGCAGTCCTCCACCTGGAATGCACTTTTTAATCATCTGGAGTCTTTCAAAAGACAGAGTGAACCTGGTGACTCAACACCCCAGGATGCTGACTTAACTATAATAGGATGGGTGCTTGTAAAACTCCTCCATTGAAACAAAGAAGTCAAGGTTAGAAACCACCGGGCTGTGAGCTTCTCGAAGTTGGCCTCTGCATACGCCTCATGTGATCCCTCTCCTTTATGCCATCTTGAGATTGTTCTGGCCACTCTGCACACTACTGGAATTTATTTGTTTAAATCTCTCTCCTGGAAGGCGGGGAGCGCTCATGCATTATTCATGTTAATGAAGACAATACTGAGCAGGTATTAGGGATTGAGAACTGCACTTTGCATAAGTTGACTCATTTATCTCTCTCAACAACACAGGGTGTCTTGTCCCAGCATCCTGCACCCTGCCTGGCACAAGGCACATATTTCATGATTGCTTTTTAAATGGAAGGAGATGGTGTTAAGTACTGGTAGAGTGCGGGACACGGTTGCCTCTCCAACACCCACCTCACTCCTGCCCTCTCCCATGGCAGCCCTGAGGCTTGGGGGTTGACTTGAGCTCCAGGGATAGGTTCTATTTTTTTTTTTAAGATTTATTTTATTTATTTATGCATACAAGAACTGGGGTATAGGACAGAGGTTGGGGGGGTGGGGGTGAGAGGATTTACCAGAGAGAGAGTGGGGAGCAAAACAGGCAGATCTACTGAAATACATTGCTGAGGGTACAGCAGGCGAGACAGGAGAGGTCTGCTGCACAAAGTGGGTCACCTCCCTGGCCAGGGATCAAACTCGTGCTGGGGAATCTGGTGTGGTCAGGCCAGTCCAGACAGGGTCCATGGTGCTTTGCTATGTAGTCCCACTCAACTGCTCATTTAGCAGTTCTATCCTTCTAGACCAAACTTTGTGGTTGTCTTAGATGCTAGACATTTCCCAACACCTTATCTTCTCTCAGCAAAAATTCATGTTTTATATTTTGACTTAAGAATACCAGAATTTGTAATGCACTCTATTTATTAGTGGTGTAACTCTCAACTCAGTTTAATTAGCATTTTATTATAGGAGGCCAGCATATTTGCACCCAAGGATGGTTGTGATGCAGGATTTTTAAAATAATAGATACATTGAAAATCTCTTTTATATATATATATATATATATATATATATCTAGGGTGTCTGCATATACCACATGGCTCCTCTATTAACATTTAGACATAAACATGCTCATGAATTATTTTAAGAAAGAACATAACCTGATTTCTTACACAAAGAACTTTCCTAAATGTTTGCGAACATGATTTTGGAGTCCTTAGGCTAGATCTGCACACATTTTAAAGTGTTTTCTGCCTGCTTAGCCTTCTGTTAGATTCAGTTAATTATCGGATGTGGGCCATGTTCTCAAGGAGTTCACATTTGGCTGGAAAGATAAAGAATAGACACTGGGAAAGTAAAATAAAAATACAAGAGTCAATTGACAGTGTCTTAGATATGCTAAGGCAGTGAAGGGTTACTTTCCAAACAAATGATATAGTTATTGTATAACAGATCAGAGGGGGAAAATGGTAGCCATCATTTGTATAGTCCTTCAAATATGGCAAGTTCTTTTATATGCTATTTTATTTAATCAATCCTTATGTGGCTGGGTAGTCCTTTTGAGAGCTTAGTCTCCATTCTTTTAACTTTTCCCTGGTATATCGCCCATTTTACACGTCTCATCTCTGGCTTGGGCTCATTGCCCAGGGAGGGCTGTGACAAGAAGTGCAGATGGGGCTTGAGGCTGAATCTCTCCCCCAGTTTGGTTTCCAGAAGCCAAAACCCTTAGGAGGGTAGGAAAGATCTGGATATGGATCAACTTTGGGGTGAAAATATGGCTTTCCCTGGACTAGGAAATAATACCCCAGATGGAGGGCTGTCAGGGAGGTGGTGAAGGGAGGTGAGATGACAGAGAGGCAGAGTGAGGGCACCTGAGTGGGCCTCCTGGGTCCTGGGTGTGCTGTAATGTCAGGAGGGAAAGTTGGCCCAGCACATCTGGGCAGATGGACAGTGACAGTCTTGCAGAGAGCTTGAGACGCAGCAGAAATAATTCTGTGCTTACCAAGGAATGCAAGGAAATACGGAGAGGCCGCCAGTCCTGAAGGATCACTGTGACTGGGGACCAAAAGAGGTGTGCCGCATTTCAGAGCATACCTGCAAGGACACCTAGCACTGCATAAATCCCCATGAAACCAGCCGGCATCCTAAGGAAATGGAGAATTCCAAATTTGCTGCAGTTAAATCTCCCCACTCAGATGGAATGTGGGTTTGAAATGAAACTAAAGCTGGGTGTGGAAAAAACTTTTTTTGCTTGTGAATTCAAATCCTTACCTGCTACATTTATAACCCCTTTTATAGATGGTGTTTTCAAAAACAGCTAACTTGCCCACGGCCACAGAGCCTAAATTAGTGAAGATTAGATTCAAATCTAGACCTTGTTTTACACAGCGCTGAGGGAGAGTGTCCTGTTACCCTTGGTTCTGAGGATATAGAGCTACAGCAACAACATCTAATGATTTGCATCAAGTTTTCTGGGAAAAACAGTTGTCTTGAAAATGTAGAAGGATTTGGTAAATATGACAGCCTGTGTTATTCTAAGCTAGAGTTTACACTGGGAATTAACTCCCCCTCTGTTTTCTTTAACAGAGAGGTGGGGCCCACCGACTATAAACATAGCTTTTGAATTGGTAATGTCCACTTTCCTCTAAGTAAAAAAATCAGTGTTGTGTGAACATATTAAATCTCCTCCCTTTGCAAGGGCATGCAGGGTGCTGCTGGTCTCTTCTTTCCTGCTGTCATTCCCACAGCTATTTAGACTGAGAAACCCACAGGAAGCAGTGGGGGTCAGTCCCACTTCGCTTTCATCTGCAGCTATGTGCATGGCTTGTTGATGGGGACGCCCCTCAATGAACACAATTTCATGGATGGTTGGGTATCAATTTTGAGAAATGCAAATGGTAGGACTGTCTGAAATCCTGCTTTCTTGCATTTCTTCATTTGGGTGATGGAGGCACCAAGGAATGCAAAGACTAAGTGAAGTGTGTAATAGACCCCTGGAAGCTGCAGTTTTAAAACTGTCTACACCCCAGGAGACTGAAGCTGAGGGCTGCAGGCGAATAT